AGTTGTAGTTTTATTTCTCTGCTTTATTCATTCCTGCTGAACAGTCCGACCAAGACACTTCGGAAAAGAGCAGTGGTAAAAGGTAGGAGTGCAAACGACAACGGAGATCAACATTTTAACACATCGAATCGCTGTACAAGAAAGAAAAGAGGTTTGTAAAAAAAAATGACAAAACACTTAAAAAATTAAGCACATAACCCTGATCGCAACACATATGAGTCTTGAAATATGTGTCCACTTTGCACCAGGCTGTATGTTAAACGTGGTTATCTCGAATCTCTACCTGTGAGTACATGTATCACGAACTTGCGGTACTCACACGATGATATTGATTTGATACTGAACGATTTGTTCCAAATATTACAGCACAAGGTTTCGAGAGACATATGACGACCTGGAGAGCGTTATGGTCGTTACCGAAAACTCCTTTTGAAATGTTCTAATTCATTCTTTGATATGACCTTTGATGTACAGTTGAACTCGTATAACTCCAAGACCCTGTTTAATTCGAAGCATTTTGACGATTCCTGCCTTACTTCCCATGGTCCCGCGAGTTCGAGATAACGAGGTTCGACTGTATTTGATTTTCAGCAGTATGCTTTGTAGTTCCGTTAATGTGACATTACTTACTAGGATTAACAAGTCGGCTATCATCAATGAAGGAGAAGACGTTTACCTTTCCGTAATATTTGGTCCGATACATTTCATGCGGTTTAAGCATATCTGTGTAGATCGTTGTTTGTTCATATCTTCCAATCGTGTCATCTACTTTGAGATGGAATTAAAAATTTGAACGAGTTACGGGTTCTCTTTACAAAGCGGTATCGTCTCGTATTCCACCTGATAAGTAAGCGCTGTCCATCTCCATTTATTTATTCATTTTTATCCATTTTTTCTGTGGTATATAAAAGACGACTCTTGAATGAAAGAGAAAAGCTGAATCAGTTTTTTAATGTAAGCGGTGTTTAGCTTCCGAAGGGACCAGATCTAGGACATATAAACGTACTTCAGAGATTGTACAAAAATCCCATTTAATACTAGTTCAGAATCAGTTTTTAACGTAAGCGGTGTTTAGCTTCCGAAGGGACCAGATCTAGGACATATAAACATACTTCAGAGATTGTACAAAAATCCCATTTAATACTAGTTCAGAATCAGTTTTTTAATGTAAGAGGTGTTTAGCTTCCGAAGGGACCAGATCTAGGACATCTAAACGTACTTCAGAGATTGTACAAAAATCCCAATTAATACTAGTTCAGAATTAGATACGGTAGAGCCAAGTAATGTTTAAACTGCATGATACAACTGTGTCGTCAGTCCTGTATTCACCAGTGATGCTAAGGTCCTAAAATTTGAAACTTAGAAAACGACTGAGGAAAATCAAAATCGATATTCAAATTCTAGATTGTGATGTGCATTAGCACCTCATGAAAAATCACAATTTCAATATATTAGGTAATTTTAGAAAACATTTGAGTACCTTCATATATTCTGAACCATGTCAATGTTTGAATGAATTAAAATTTCAATGATCTTACGCACCAATTGTGAGTATCAACCTTATCATATCCAGAGGTATTCTGTTTCCAAAATAGATCATTATGAAGACAACAACTGTTTTATTATTCATATACGTACACATACCACGTGCTGAAAAATATTAGCAGCAAAGTTTATGAATATATAGTTAACGAAATATTTACTATCAGGCTTTCATCTTAAGTGTATATTCTTTGTTCTTAGCCGTGTTTTTCATCAACGATATTGTAATATTGATCGCCTTCCTCAGAGATGAAGCATTTATGTTCATGTTCATAAAAGAAGAGTGGTTGTTATTGGAAAACTGTTTCTGATTTTTTTTTCAAAATGGATAGATGTTTTTCTAGCTTTTCAAAATGCATATAAGGACTTTTTACCCATAGAGCATTTTGATCTTCAAGATTTACTGGTCTTTGTTTCAGTCAATCATGGGGAACAAGAATTCCTATTGAGATATCACTGTAACTGTAAAGTTATAAAGTCTGCAATGTTTGAATAAGAGTTTGTTTGTGCAACATTTAAATGTAGACGTGGTATCATAGGATTCTAATCTTCGAACAGTAATCTGATGTTCTTAACCCTGATAAGAGAGTAAGTTGGATATAACAATCCATTTGTACTTTCACTTTCGATTTTAGATGATTCAAAGATCTTGTGTTATTTATCAGAGACATGTTGGTGGAGATACTAGTAATAATTGCTTTGTATCTAATTGTTAAAATATGTATAGAAAATACTGTGAACAAACCAGGAACTAAAGAAACAACCACTGACGGAGAATCGCTCAACGATACTCCAGGTAACTGTATTCCTTAATTCAAGTACAGTAGAATAGGTTTATGGCCACAACACGTGCTTTATCACCGAAACGTATGGTGGTGCGTACAAGGCATGTTAAATAGTCATTGCTTTGTTTTTTTTAAAGCGCAAGCCGTGAAGATTCAAATAGATTCATCATAAAGATGTCACTATATAGACCTCAGGGTCACCATGAACAGGAAGTTTGTTCTCGGGTAAAGATATTTTGATACTTGATACTATGTTAATTCAGTACCTCAAAATCGAAAGTGAAAGTACAAATAGAACATTCTGTTGAACTGTTCCTGGTTACATTAAACTGTTGTTCTTCATTATGACTATATAATGAAACTTGTTACCGTCGATTTCATATAATTCAGATCTGCATTAGTTTCGTTTATAGTATGGATATTGAAAACATCTTCCTCCAAAAAATATATCGTCGACATTAAATTGTTCTGTATGAAAATCTCAACTAACTTTTCAACAAAGTATAAAAATAAAATAATATGAAATTTGATCTAAATGCACTTTTTGAGCTTGATGGACTAAAATAACATTTCCGAATTTCTTACACAATCGGTTTTTTAGTTTTTACTTTTTACTTTCCCATAATTCTTATATTTAATCATTTTTATTTGCCCTCCTTTCCAGGATTTTGATTTAAAAACTTTGATCAGTGCTCCGAATACACATCCACACTCTACATTTGAATAGACAGACACTGATAAAATAAGGCTCTTGGACCGTCGAGAAAGTTTAAATTCTACTTTCACTTTCGTTTTCTATTCAATAACACATGTACATAACCAATACTGTAAAACGTTTTATGAAATTCTTACGATAATTATACTCTTCGCTATCCTAATCCCAGTTGAAAGTGAAAGCAGACAAGGGAATTCCCCGATGATCCCGTTTGTTGACGAAGGGGAAGTCTTCAATGACCAAGTTATTTATCTTATGGTATGTAAAATACCAATAAGCAGAAGCCACTGTAATAGCATACATTAAAATGTTTTCGTTGCCGCTGTATTAAACAGTACGGCTAGTCTGGCTTCCAGCCCTGAACTTTTATTAGGTAATACTTACTGCATTTTCCACTTACTTATTACACTTTCCTTTTGACTGGGACCAGTCTAAAATCAGACATATCTTAACGATCAGAAATACAAGACGCAATTTCATTGTTAATTACACATGTATATTATAATAATATTTATTCCTGTACAGTGTACTATTCCATTTTTTATTTACCTTCCAGAAACAAACGTTGCTAATACTACCGGTGACTCTGACGACACAGGTAAGTCTTTTATCCAGTACTTTTATATTTGGTCTTTTGTTAATTTTTTTTTAGTTTTATCATTTTTTATATCAACATGTTCTTCATTTTGCATTAATGCAAACTGAATTTATGTTAAATCATCAGATAACTTTCTTACTACAAGTGTTGTATTGTTATATCGTGTAATAATATCATACCTAGCGCTTTGATGACATCACATTCTTCATTATGACCTTATGAAGTTGCTCTGACCAAAATGAGGAAGGAAATTACCCGGTGCGTGAAAATGTTCGAAAATTATGTAACACTATGAAAACTAAAATAAAACCAACCTCAGGATCCTTATCAACGGAAAGAAGGACAACTGGACAAGTTCTGTTTTTACTTTCTTTGGATTTCACCAGGATTCAATTTTCGTTTAAAAGGAACGAAGAATCCGTCTCTTCTATAATGAGCTGATTATATGGAGTATTCCTTTAATATTTTCACTCTCAGTGGTTCCCGTGGATTACAAATTTACTAATGTGCGTGAAAAACAAGGGAAACAATCGTTTTCAGGTTACTTCTATCGTTTTATTTTATTGACGATCACGGAAAAAGAGTATTAAATGACTTATGAATACATTTGTTCTATTGTATTTTAAATATGGAATTTTTATTTGTAACATTAATATATACACATTCTGACTGTTGTTTCTCTTAATGAATCTACCAACTGAAAATGACGAACATTAGACTATGAAAACCAGTATGAAAATACTATGAATACAAATTTTCACGTGAAATAATCAGATGGTCTCACACCATTGGATATGTAAGTAGCTGCTGCTATTCTTTCTATAAAAATGATCAAAAATCCATTCAATGTTAATGACGAATTTTCAGTAGTTGGTTTACTGAAAAAAATTTTACTTTTGTATTGTTTATTATTGATACTTTTTTGTTGAAAATTTCCCCGGAAATAAATAATAAATCAATTTGTAGTGATTGTGTTAATATTTAATAAACACTTGAAAAATGATCTTGCTGACGTTTGTTGATGTCGTCAGTTCATAGATAAACTGGACTCAAATACTGAATGCTGAGTCATAATCTACCTCAAATGATTGTAGATGTTTTAATTATAGTTTGTGTCAATAGAATTAAAAACCTTTTTTGACACTGGACCAAATTCGTCGTCAAAGCCGATCTATATGTACTTCGTGGCGGGATATCAATAATTTACACGAAACGAAACTAAATATACACACTCGTGGAAAATCCCAATGCGACATATTGCATGTGTCTAAAAAAAGAACATTTTCAGAAACTTAAAGTGAAAGAAAAGGCTTTTCCGTGACGTCAATCATTTATCTGGCCTCGGAGGGAGCGGATACAGTATCTCGATGGTGAGTGTCTTATTCTCATTAATGATGTAGAATATTGCTAGTTTTTATATTAATCTAAAAACAAATATTTTAAACTAAACGTGCTTCAAACTCAAAGTCTACTGTATTTTGAACTATTACGTTTTACATTTGGTCAAATAAAGTCGGTATTTTCTAGCAAATATTGAGTTTTTCTTGATGAATTTCGTACAGCGTATATACTATTACGTTTTAGAAAGCTAATAGAGTCCTGTAAATATTTCGCAAACAAAGGAAATATGTGATATTAAACCCTTAATATATAATCATATCCTGTAGATACAACATGAGTATACACATCTAGTACAATAATGACAATATGAAGTAGTAAATCTTTTCAAATTTAAGGTTAACCTTTTCCTGAACGAATTTATAGAAATTCAGCAATGGATTCAGTTCAATAAATTGCCTAGGTCACAAGAATTAACATGTCAAATAGACACTGACTTTGGAGAACATTCCGTAACAATTTGAAGTGGATACTGATCATTTAAGCAGTTAGCACATTTGTAACATTAGAGTTCAATTGCTTGATAGTTTAATATATAGAGATATATCATGGGGGATACACTTTGTGTTATAAGTAAAACGAAAGTAGGATTGCAAAGTGAAAGTAGGATAATCTGAGAAATCAAACTAGCTTATTTTCAGAAAATCATTTTTGATTTGCTGTCCCGATGAAATCATAAATATTTATAATATTTCTTTAATGCTCAGTTTTAACTGCGTCATTCCATTCAAAAGATAATATGAAATTATATTCAGCAATATGAAACCCTTGTGCCCGTTCCCTGAAACATATTAAAAACATTTTTAAAAAATATAGCATGCTGTTTGTCACATTCATATGTATTTGAATACCATAATGAAATGTAAGTAACTCTATAGTTATACTAAAATCAACTGCGTGAACTTCAAACTGTTCAGCATTTGAATATGAACCCGTGAAAATGTAAACTCATTGACTCCAGCCATCATAAAGTACAGTTAAATAATTTATATTCGTGGAGATTTCACCATAAAGTGTAATTAATTCATATTCGTGGAGATTTCTTCATAAAGCACTAAAATTATTTATATTCGTTTAGGTTTCATCATAACGTACGGTAAACTAATTTATATATGAGGTTTCATTGTCTGTCATTTTGTTGGTATTCTCAACGAATCAAAAATGTTATATTTTTTAACGTCGATTTGCGATTATATTCGCAACATTGTCAACAATTTCACTACATGAACGTATTTGATGTTTAGTGTCCAACAAATGATCAATTCCGTTGTATCTAGAACCTGTAGTCTTCTGTTCTGTCAACCCGTCTAATGTATGAGAGATTTTACTATTTTTACGAATAGGGCTAAAACAGGCCTCACTTAAACCTTTATCACAATTTGATACCACAATGTAGATATATCATTGGAATATGCATGCATAATGATTATTTATTTACCTGCATTCTGTTTATACATATTAGTCTGTTCTTCTAGAAACTGTTCATCAAAACTTAAAATTTTCTTTAAAAGTACTACTTCCTGCTCCAAGCCAAGAAATTTAACAATATTTACAATGGTATTATATTATTGATTGAAATGTATGGAGTCTAAGGGAGACAACTGATATAGACATTGTCTGTTGCCCAATTCCCATCAAATGTTTTTGATTTAATCAGATATTTTGAAATGAAATGTCCCAGTATATAATGTCTATTAAGGATGTTAGGTCTGTTGCTGTAATGACATGTTCTGATAATATAACTCTCCAATCTCTTATCTGGTAACTAGTGTGATTTTATGGGACGGTGAAGGAAACTGAAATATTGGTATCCGTTTTAAAATGTAAATATCAAGGATAAGTCGACTTTTGTTTGCAGATACGACAACACCACAGCATGTGAAGTAAACTCTCAAATATTCCTTAGAAGATTAAAGTGTATTTTCAAACTACTTATTGTCATAGATAGAGGTGGATATTCACCCTTCAGCAAACGGTTCAATTCATTATTCTTTGTAAAACTGATAATTGATAAAATTGTGAAAAAGAATAACATCATGAAGTCGGCAGAGAGTGGGGATAGAGATTTTGAACGGGTAATTCCTGTCACAAGCCCTTTTCGGAGATCGCAATCTATTCGCACACCACGGCGGACCGCACCTATGCCTTCTCCTCGTTTTAAAAAAGATTTGTGTGTAACTGCACCACTTGAAGCAACAACCGCTGACAGTAAAGATCGCAAAACAATAAGAGAAAGCTTTGAAAATCGGACAACAATTCAACGTTTACCTGCGGAGGAGACATTTCGAAAGCATTCTCCTTCACAAGAGCAGCCGAGAGAACAGCAGACTTGTAATAATGCAATTCGACTTCAAGACGACTTCCCATGGAATAACCATTTTAGTGTGAAAAAGAAAGAAGGTGATAGGGTCAGGTCTCTATCAGCGGCTAGCCTACGTTTGCGTAGATCACAATCAGTTCGGGGACCACAATCTAAACTGACATCATTTTCTCTAAAGATGGAGAATGAAATTGGTTTTTACCCGCGTTTTGACATGACGGTCCAAAAAAGTTCACAAGACGATAATCCGAATGCAGAATATATTACATTAGAAAACACATCTTTAACCACAGAACCCGATGATAAATATCACCAAAGAATCCAAGGAAATCAAATTCATGTACCTATGCAAGATTACAATACATTGACGACACCCGACCTTGACCGAAAAAGTAAGGAACAATTTCTCGACTGCCGACCACTTGCAGACTTGTCCATACTTGAAGAAGGAGAAATTCCTTTGATAGGACCAACCACACAAGTTGACGGAGAGAAACCTTTGATTGCAAATGGACTTTTAGATTGTAATCCAACTGTTAAATATACTGAACCCTCGGAACAAGCATTCGATTTAGTCCAATCTTCTGCAGAACCACGATATCGTCCGTATTCAGACTTTTCACATGAAGGAGCGCTTCCAACATATCAAGCAACATATGCATCAAACCCTAGACATCCTAAAACACAAATGCCACCCGCGAACAAAACCTCCCTTAAGAAGGAAACAACAGCGATGAGAAATCCGTTTTCTATTTGCTCGGAATTGCAGCCAAGTGGATTACAGAGGACAATGTCTATGCGAGACAGTCGGAGGCTCAGAGTTGACAATGCGAAGTCTAAATTCGGAATGCAAGATTATGTAACGGTACCAACCAATGATAGACCTAAATTAAAAGCAAAATCCAGAGCAAAGATTGGTCTTGTAAAGAGGTCTACTAATCCTTTTTGTTTGGATTCAGATGCTGCCTTGGCCGACAGGAAAACATCACATAGTTTCTCTACCGTAAGTAAAATACACGAATGTTTCCTAAAGTATGGTAAATGTTTCCACATTTTGATAGCCAGTATGATAATTTTCGAATACTGCTGATCTCGTCAACGAGGTGTATTTAATCTTTTCATAATGCAGAATTATCTGCTCTTGTCGTCATTTATTGATTGTTACGTCACTTGATTGCATGTGTTGTTACTTTCACAAACCCTTAACTTAACAATTAATTTCTACTCAGAAGAGCAGATAGATAACTTTGCATTAAGAAAAGACGGAATAGTATGGTTCGATAAATTAGTTTTTTTTAAAAAATAAGAATAAATGAGTGAAGTAAAACGTGTCCGTATTTAATTAACAAAACTAAACCCTAATTGATAATTTATGCAACCAATGGTAGCTAAAATAAAGTCGTGTTAAGTGATTAGAATAAAATGAGCCTTTATCTAATGGAAATAAGGCAATGTAAGGAGCATTTGTGTTCAGTGAACAACGTACAGTGTTCCCCTAGTGTGAACTAAGGAACAAACGAAAAGTTGAATATAATTTGTGTTAAGCGGTCCTGTTCGATCAATATAGAGTTTTTCTCTTACATGAATGTCGTAATCATGTAAATGACCATTGTGGATTGTCAAAATGGTGAATCTGTATGTAAGTGAATGTTTGCTGAACGTGGGGTTGAATTGGAAAACTTTAAAGTGTAAGATTTAATTGTATAAGCTTTTTTGCTGTACAAAGCTTGATTCATATTAATGATTTAGTTATAAATGATCCCAAATATCGGAACAAAATTACGTCAGTAATGATACATCTACATTTGAAATATTCAGCAATATTATGTAAGATTTTAATTATTTCTAACACCCTTGAAGAGTCCAACAGTGATGCAAGTTCCTGGAAACAGCGTTGGTGTGTGGAAGTTCGGCGATGAAAATTTCTTCACTTCCGTTCCAAAGGTATAAAATGATGTGTAAAAATAAGTAGTCGATATTCTAAATTGGACTATCAGTAACGGAAAACAAATTTTGTATAAAAAATCTTATACCAGTGTGATCATTTGCCATATCCGTTATAAAGCAATAGATTGCCATTGTTTCAGAGAAAACCATATTTCTCTGTGATGTCTTACCTCCATTTTAAGAACAATCAACGTTAAAATATTTCGGAATGTTGAGCTGTGTATTAAAACTATTTATACAACTCTATTTCTAATTTTACAGGCATGGACCGTTTCCGATTGCATTACGCATGTTCGAAACAAAATAGGACGTTATGGGTATGGTGACATTGACCTTTGGATAAAGAATCGCTGCATCATGTTGGATAAGCGAAAGTCCCTATCGGATTACCCAGGCCTGAAATCACTGCACGTGGTCCGCAGACCACTTTCTAGAGACCCACATCCATCATATGCGACATCATGCAAGGATGACACTGACCCGTTTTGTGACAGCACGACTGTAGGGATGTCGTGTGGACATTTTATCTGTAAGTTATTGTACATTGGTGACTATAAATACAATTAATAACATTTGTTATCAGATGTGTTATGTAATATTACACTGTTATTAATCGGCCAATTTTATATATGCCTGAATATTAGTTCTCGGCCCTTGGCCAACATGACAGACAGAGGCCCAATAAGTAGGCCAATATGACAGACAGAGGCCCAATAAGTAGGCCAATATGACAGACAGAGGCCCAATAACTAGGCCAGTATGACAGAGTCCAAATAACTAGGCCAATATACCAGACAGGACCAATAACTAGGTCAATATGACAGACAGAGGCCCAATAAGCAGGTCAATATACCAGACAGGACCAACAACTAGGCCAATACGACAGACAGAGGCCCCATAACTAGGCCAATATACCAGACAGGACCAATAACTAGGTCAATATGACAGACAGAGGCCCAATAAGTAGGCCAATATACCAGACAGGACCAACAACTAGGCCAATACGACAGACAGAGGCCCCATAACTAAGGCCAATATGACAGACAGAGGCCAAACAACTAGGCCAATATACCAGACAGGACCAATAACTAGGCCAATATGACAGACAGAGGCCCAATAACTAGGCCAATATACCAGACAGGACCAACAACTAGGCCAATATGACAGAGGCCCAATGACTAGGCCAATATGACAGACAGAGGCCCAATAAGTAGGCCAATATACCAGACAGGACCAATAATTAGGTAAATATGACAGACAGAGGCCCAATAAGTAGGCCAATATACCAGACAGGACCAACAACTAGGCCAATACGACAGACAGAGGCCCCATAATTAGGCCAATATACCAGACAGGACCAATAACTAGGCCAATAAGACAGATCGAGGCCCAATAAGTAGGCCAATATACCAGACAGGACCAACAACTAGGCCATTACGACAGACAGAGGCCCCATAACTAGGCCAATATGACAGAGGCCAAACAACTAGGCCAATATACCAGACAGGACCAACAACTAGGCCAATACGACAGACAGAGGCCCCATAACTAGGCCAATATGACAGAGGTCCAATAACTAGACCAATTTGACAGACAGGTCAAATAACTAGGCCAGTATAACAGACAGAGGCCCAATAATTATGCCAACATGACACACATGCCCAATAACTAGGCCAATATGACAGAGGTCCAATAACTAGGCCAATATGACAGGCAGAGGCCCAATAATTAGGCCAATATGACAGATAGGCCAAATAACTAGGCCATTATGATAGACAGAGGCCTAATAATTAGGCCAATATGAAAGGCAAAGACCCAATAACTAGGCCAATAAGACAGACAGAGGACCAATAAGTAGGCCAATATGACAGACAGAGGCCCCATAACTAGGCCAATATGACAGAGGTCCAATAACTAGGCCAATATGACACACAGGTCAAATAACTTGGCCAATATGACACACAGGCCCAATTACTAGGCCAATATGACAGACAGAGGCCCAATAACTAGGCCAATATGACAAACAGAAGATATGACAGGCCCAATAACTAGGCAAATATGACAGGCAGGCCCAATGATTAGGACAATATGACAAATAGAGGCCAAATAAATAGGCCAATATGACAGACAGAGGCCCAATAACTAGGCCAATCTTAAATTAACCTATTAATGACGGAAGGAATTGTTTTTGCTTTTTTTTAAGTTTTTATTAGACCTTTTCTACATCAAGTCAATTTTGTTTTGTCGTCTGCCGGGGAGCTGAACATGGAAGGTCGCAATCAGAATGGTACCTTTTCAGCCCACCATTACAAGGTGGTGGGCTATTCAAATCGCCTTGCGTCCGTGGTCCGTCCGTAAACAATTCTGGTTACCGCTATTTTTGGACTGATCCGAAATCAAGATTGCTGACAGGAAAACAATCTTGGATTTTGAAAGTAAAAGTTTGTTACCGCTATTTCTAAGGAAGTACTGGATGGATCCTTCTGATATTTCATAGGTATTGGTTTTCCTTGGTCCTCAGTTGTGCATTGTACCTTTTTTGGACTGATTTTAAATCAAGGTGGCCCACAGGCAGCCATCTTGGATGTCGACAGTATTACAGCAGTTTGTTATGGCTGTGACAGGAGCCTTCTCAAATTTCATATTTAGCTTCCTCTTGGTACCTAGTTAAGCATTGTCCCATATTAAAAATGATCTGAAAAACAAAATGGCCTATAGCTCTCTATCTTGGATTTGAACAGCAAGTAATTGTTTTATGGCTTTTTCCTACCTACATGATCAGTCATTCTCAAGTTTCAGATTTTCTAAATTAAGTAAACATTGATAAATACACTGTTTAGGGTATGTATACTAAACCATGCAATGAATTGAGTTAATGGCATGTCTATTTCCACCTGTAACTGACTGCTATCTAATAATTCTTTTGGATCTTTTTCAAATGATATTTGCTAATAGGTGCTTAATAAAAATATCTTGTGCCATCATTGAGTACATTCAATGAAGACCAGTTCATGAACATTTACAACTCCTGCAAACGAAAAAAATAAACAAATCTTCAAGAACTGAAAACAGATCCTCAAATGGTGGGCCAAAATCCCACTGGGATCTCTTGATAATAACCTTCAAGGCACTCCGAACGTGAGAGTGCGTTCGATTGGCGCGGTTTCTTTATACCAGGCCGCGGCCAGAATGATATTAGCCGACTTATTGATGTTATCAATATTCGCCGATTTTAGTCGTAATATTTTACAGGACGTGGATTTCATACAAATATTGAGAAAGTAAATTAATCATCTTTAATATAGCGTCGTTTGATATACCATATTGGGAAATGACGTCAAATATTTGCACATCACATTATGACGTCACAATGACGATGATAAAGTTCAGAGGCCTTGTAGCATGGCATGAACAATTTTCTGCAATATTGGACAAAGTGATTGATGATGTTTTATAAAGGATTCGTTTCCATTGATAGAAGATTCATGAAACTATTTTTAATTTTAGCTTTACACGGTTAATAATTCACAAATGAAATGCAAGCTACTGTCATATCGTCTAAATAACCATTTTGAAACACATAACACATCTTTTCTGCATTGATGAAAAATGGGCCGATAGATTACATGGTTGTAATTTTATAAAATTATTACGCCCATGACATAGTTCTGCATATTAAACTCTAGTAACATGACGTGTGATGACGTCATATAGCGATAATGACATCATACATTTACAGATAATGTTATGATGTCATAACGATAACAAAATGTAAAGTTACATGACTTCAACGATGATGTGGAAAAATAAAGCCCTTCTCCTTAAATCTCACGTGAAATAATTAAATAGAAATAATGTCAGATTTTTTTTATATATTTAAGTCATCAAGGATAAACAAATGTGAAAAAAGGTAGTGCAAAATGAAAGTGGTAGGCGTCACCAGCCACTTTTGAAGGGAAACGATGCCTCGTAATAACATCGGAAAAGATTGCTTGTCACTGACTGAAAGTTTAGCATTACGAACTTGAATGATTTGGTTTCTGTACAAGAACAACTTTTGTTATTTATAAACTGTTGGCAGAGGATCTGGTTTGGTTGTTCGAAATCATACACATATACAAGTGAAATACCAGTCTTCTTGTAACGGGATTAGATGTTGCTCCTCTTTTGCTACTAAAAGAAATAAAAAAAATACATATTGCACTCTTATTTCAGCTCCTGATAACCTATACCAATACGCCTGGAGAAAGATACAAGAAGGCACAATCGAAGTGACATGCCCGGCTGTTCCCGATACTAACAGACCTGCCGAACAATGCTCAAAGGAATGGGATTTTCAGTCTATTAGCAAGATTGCCTGTCTTTCTGACGACGAAAACTATATGTTCTGTAGCAAACTTTTTTCGAATCTCTTAGAAAGAGAATCAAACATTCATATATGTCCAGGTTGTAATGAAGCCATTTTCAGTAATTGTGCAAATATATTGAAATGTTCCTACTGTGAAAAGAGTGGGAGATCGTTTTCATATTGCGTCAAATGCCACCAGGCTGTGTATCGTAATACGTGTTCCAACCCTGATTGCAAAGAGAGTCTCCCAAAAATACGAGCATTGTTACAGAACTGCCATATGATAACTATTGTTGACGTTCCGAACTGCCCTTCCGTTCGCGCATGCCCAAAATGTAGTTGTGTCATTGAATTCGACGAGGCCGAAAGTTGTAAACACATGACTTGTCCGCGGAATTTTTGTCAAACGAAATTTTGTTTTATTTGTCTGAAGGTGAAGACAGACCAGTATTATTGGCCGTGTGGGGGCGCTTTCGACCCGTGCAGTCCAACTCCAAGACAAATCGTTTAAAGAAACCTTTCTTTTCTTATTGTGCAATTCATTGACATACCCATGTATTTAAATCGCTCTTCCGTTCTTGAACGATTTTCATATTTCCGTCAATTTCAAAATGCTGTTCATGAATAAATCGAACTATCGTTCAATGTATCAGAAATAAGCCAAATAACATAGATTTGACTGAATATTCGTAATAAAGATTTCTTGTTTTGTTTTATTTGTTAAACGTAAATTTAATAACTGGAATATTAAAAAAAAAAATTAATAAATCAAACCCGCGGAAATATACCTTAATTAATTACTCATTGTACACCCGGCATGGAAGGATAAGGATGGGTTTTTTTTAAACAGGACGTATTTTCATGCATAGTTGAAATCTTTTGTCCGGATATGTGGTACTATATACTATTGTTTTTATGTGAGTTCGGAAAAACGTAACCTCGTCTGCCTTTTTTCAGTACAATATGTACAGTTTACCCTGTTAGTCAGAATACTGTTTGATTATGCGGTGTTCAAAGAAACCCGTTATACCGGACAGAGTGTGAATAAGTTGACTGAATCGTCGCTAATCTGAATGTATTGCGTATGATTGTAGAGAAGATATTCCTTAGTATTCGTTGATCTGGGGAAAGTGTTGAGGTGCCTCTTTGTGTGCGTCTGCAATTCGCAATTTGGTTAGTCCGGATATATATTTTGTATGTATGTAAAGAAAATCTTCGTTAATCCGGACCGAGCGAGCAGAAGTTCCTAAGTGTGCGTCTGCAAAGACAAACTATTTGTTTGTCCGGATACATTGTATGTGGAGTCATATTTAAATAACATATGTGTATAAAAATGTAACTGACATTTGTTCTAATTCAAGTTTTATTTTATTCATTTATTTTGTTCAGGAATAAAAACGCATACACATGATTGATTTTGTCCTCCATTTATACAGAACATTTAAAATCATGGTGAAATGTCCGTCGTTAATACATAATAAAACACGATATGAAATAATTCGTTTGAAAGCAAAATGTCAACATGATTGGATAATTCATTATTTTCTCACAACAGAGAAAAAATGCCTTAATGTTCTTATTATTCACTATAAACCTCGTTATGCTGTCAATCATTAAACAGTGAAACGTCAATAAAATGCTCCAGGTTTTAAAAGATATCCCACAATCAAATGACACTTGTTTATACAGCTAAACTGCATATAACACTATACTGTGGAACATTAATGTCTTTCTATTGTAAAACCTGTTGTATTACCTCTCGTTATACAGAAAACTTTAAAACAGGCTCTCCAGTTATTCTGTAACAGCTTGACATGATATCGCTCGGAATATACTATATTTCACAGCAAACCATGTTTATGCCTCGATTTATTTTAAATTCATCAACTTGAAAACATCGACATGATGGTCGTCTTTTAACATTGATACCTTGATTTTCTACCCCTTGCTATACTATAAAACCTCGATATAATGTCCCTCTTTCTACAGTTAAACATCGATATAATGTCCCTCTTGATACAATAAAACCTCGATATTATGTCCCTCTTTCTACAGTTAAACCTCGATATTATGTCCCTCTTGATACAATAAAACCTTGATATTATGTCCCTCTTTCTACAGTTAAACCTTGATATAATGTCCCTCTTGATACAATAAAACCTCGATATCATGTCCCTCTTTCTACAGTTAAACCTCGATATAATGTTTCTCTTGATACAATAAAACCTCGATATAATGTCCCTCTTTCTACAGTTAAACCTCGATATAATGTTTCTCTTGATACAATAAAACCTCGATATAATGTCCCTCTTGATACAATAAAACCTCGATATTATGTCTCTTTTTCTACAAACGCTCCCTCGTTTATTGTACTGACTGTTAGTCACGAGATAATATCGATAAACCAGCAATGACACATCCAGGTAAATGCTATAAAGCCAACGTCAAATATAGACTTTTCCCTGGAAAAACCGGACGAAACATATCACGTGTGTCTAAATATGGAACTGGAAGAAAGTACTTTCCCTGACACAAGGTAATTTTCATTGTATGTACAATACTTTGATACGAAGTCTTATTATAAATCTTTTTGAGAGCGCAACAAGTATAATATAATTTTATTTTTTTTTTTTTTTTTTTTTTTTTTAATTTTATATTTTATTTTATTACATTAATGTTTTTGTAACAACAACACTTACATATTAGTAATTATTGACGTTTTTAATAAACCAATTCTTCTGTTACTTCTCATGTGTCATCCCATATGCCATTAACTCAATTCATTGCATGGTTTAGTATACATACCCTAAACAGTGTATTTATCAATGTTTACTCAATTTAGAAAATCTGATACTTGAGAATGACTGAACATGTAGGTAAAAATAGCCATAAAACAATTACTCACTGTTCAAATCCAAGATGGAGAGCTATAGGCCATTTTGTTTTTCAGATCATCTTAAATATGGGAAATGCTTAACAAGGTAAATATGAAATTTGAGAAGGATCCTGTCACAGCCATAACAAACTACTATATTACTGTTGACATCCAAGATGGCTGCCTGTGGGCCACCTTGATTTCAAATCAGTCCAAGAAAGGTACAATGCACAACTAGGGACCAAGGGGAACCAATACCTATGAAATCAGAAGGATCCATCCAGTACTAACTCAGAAATAGCGGTAACAAGATTTTACTCTCAAAATCCAAGATGGCTGCCTGTCAGCCATTTTGATTTCGGATCAGTCCGAAAAAGGTAAAATGCACAGTTAGGGACCAAGGGGAACCTGCATATGAAATTGAGAAAGATCCATCAAGTATTTTCCCAGAAATAGTGATAACAAACTTTTACTTTAAAAAACCCAAGATGGACGTCTGTGGGCCATCTTGAATTCGAATCAGTCCGAAAAAGGTACACTGCACAACTAAGGACCAAGGGGAAGCTTCATATGAAATTTGACAAAGATCCATCAAGTACTTTCTATAAAATAGCGGTAACAAACTTTTACTTTCAAAATCCAAGATGGACGTCTGTGGGCCATCTTGAATTCGAATCAGTCCAAAAAAGGTACACTGCACAACTAAGGACCAAGGGGGAGATCCATATGAAATTTGACAAAGGTCCATCCAGTACTTTCTCAGAAATAGCGGTATCAAACTTTTACTTTCAAAATAAAAGATGGCCGACAAGCGGCCATCTTGAATTCGGATCAGTCTTACAAGGTACTATGCACAACCTGGAACCAAGGGGAACCTGCATATGAAATTTGAGAAAGAGAAAGATCCATCCAGCTCTTTCCCAGAAATAGCGGTAACAAGAATTGTTTACGGACGGACGGACCACAGACGCAGGGCGATTTGAATATCCCACCATCTGGTGATGGTGGGCTAAAAAACAGGATATGTTTTTTTAATCCTATTCCTAACATCCCCTGATTGTATATTTGCATTTGGACCTGGGAAACAGGACTTGTGTATAATTTAGAATTCTAAAGAAAAAAAACTGCCGATAATTTCAAACATTTTATTTTGAGGTTTTAATAAGCTTCTTCGATTATTAAGAATTTCAACTTAGTTTTCGTTTGGCTCAGTGTTAATGCAATAGTCTATCGCGTCCTGGGTTCGATTCCCGTACAAAGGTCACTGGCCCGACCACGTGGATTTCTATTATCAATAAATATATGCGTAGATTTTAGGTAAAATGTCAATGCTGAAATATTTAAATATGTCTGTCTTGTATTATAACATATTTCTATATATCGAGCCATCAAAAAGTCTACAAAATACAAACATGGCAACATAATCCAAACTCAAATTCTATAAAGCTATGGCAAAATATGTACAAAAGAAAGATTTACAAGGAGACTTCTGAAAAATTATAAGGAGAATAAGACCAGGTGTTCCAAAAGAGTAATCGTCTTCTGCTTCATTACCGACACCCGCCATGTAAACCTTGGTCGATCTATGTAAGTAATGTCACGTTCTCAAATGTAAACAAAGTTTACAACAATGGATCCAACAGGCAAACTAACGAGTATCAAACTGGAATATTCATCTATGGTAAGCAACATTACAGCTACTCTTTAAACAAAAACTAAAAATGATCAATTTCACTCTGAACTGATCACGTTTGATAATTCCATGATAATTTCAGCGATAGGATCTTATTGTCAAGATATAGCAACTATTCATTTTATTTCTTTTGATAGAATACAATTAAAACAGATAGTTTTCTATTCAACAGGAGCCAAATGTTCGTTTCACCTTTCATTGTCTTACTTCGAAGCCAAATAATCATTACAAATAACAGTCATTTATGTTGAGGAACCTAGAAAATTTTACTTAAGGAATTAAGAAATGTGAAAAATATGTTCACTAAATAAACAAAATGTCCAACAACACTTAGTTAAGACAAAAGAGAAACCACATGATTCAAGAAAAAACAACACATATCGGTCAAATCACTGGAGAACAAAATCATATATCTTCATCAATTCAATATTGACATCACCCAGAATTTGTTGAAGAGAATCGTAGCCCTTCTAAGGAGTGTCCCGATCCTGACTAATATTTCTTCGACATCAACCAGTGATAGGTCTAAACAAATGACAAATCTGTTACCAAAATAAACGTCAGTCAGGGTCCAGAATCTGCAGCTAATTTTGATTAAGATAATTCGGGGTCCGTTATAAAATCGTCTAACGTACTTTCTACCATAAGAGTTGATCAGAAGGTTCTCTTGCCATGAGTAAATGTTTCGCCTGGCTCATTTGAAACAGTGCCTGATGCAGGACAGAAAAATATGATCTTGTAAATGAGTCAAAAACAAGTTGAATGCCACAGAAAACTAGTCAGACGTCATCGTTTCGGTCAAATGATTGTTACTACATGCATGGAGACAGAAGCCGATGACAGACTTGATATTGAGAAACAGGAGAAATCTGACCAAACAGAAAGGAAAATACGTGTTGACCCAATTCAAGTAGATACAACTGGCATTCATATACCTCGAAAAAGTAACAAACCAATGATGTCATCAAACCTTCATAGAAAAAGTACCAAACATAGACATGGTCAATTTCAAGAACGCTCCATCGATGAAGGAAGTAAAACAGTCTCGGTGTAAAAGCAAACAATGTGATAGATGTTTCAATGGTTGACTTTAATTAAGTGATATATAATCAAACGCCCCATCGTTATACAGTAAAACCTCTTAAAACCTTAATATAACGCCCCATCGTTATACCTTAAAACCTTAATATAACGTCGAATTGCATAGGTGTGTGGCGTTTTGGAGAGAACGATCATTTCCAAACAGTCCCAAAGAAAAATAATATATATTAGAATAACTTAAAACAACACATCGAATTAAGCATTAGCGCTTTCATTCCAGAATCTTCATGATGAATAATATGTCTGTGACGTAATAACAAGAGTGATTATGTGACGTCATAATTGAACAGGAGATCATTACGTACTTTATATGATTCTTAAACAATACTGTTTAGTTTGGATTTATAGTTCTAATAAAATACATTTCCTTTTCTTTTTTTTTCAATGGGATTCTCCGAATAGAATTTGTAGAAAGTAAAGATTTTAAATGTTTTCTTTCCGAAAATGTCTCGATGTTAACTTGGTTCACTTTATTTTTTCTGTATTCTGGATATTTGGTGTGCTTTTTATGGACTCGTACGCGTGCCCGTAGTGTTGTACCAGTTTGTCCGATGCAATATTCGTCGCAACCGGTATATATACAGTATATTAGGTTTTTAGATGAGCATTACATGTTCGCATTCGCTTAGAATTCTATTCCTCTGAAGTGGTGTGTTTCTCCTTCCACTATATATTGGTCTCCACATTTTGTTACACATCTTAATTGTTTTAAGTTATTCTAACATATTTCACCGGACACAGAAAATTCAACTTTTATATTTGAATATATATATATAATTATATATATTCTTATTGATAGGAAGTTAAGGTAACTGATGATAATAACCCTATTGAATTGGCTCATAACCTGATGGTTGATTTATCTAATATTTAATAAATAAACTGATAACATTTGGCGAAGAGGCAGAATATAAAACGGAATTCAAATAAAACAGATACATTTTTTTTCCAAAAACCATAAATACAGTCATCAAAATATATAGATACATATTGATAATGAACCACTTACAGTTGTAAATATTGATAAACTTTTAGTGCTGATGCGAATAGAATTATTATATCAATTCCATCTATCAAAAAGCATATAAGATAATTGATATTTCAAGAATAATGAAATATTAACTTGACATAAAAACTCTTACAACAATTTACATTAAATATAAACAGTAAAACTCATTAGTGTATAACACGCTCGCTTCAATCTAAAATACATCGGATGAGTCGAATGTTTTGTTCGGTCAAGATTTTCCCTCTTCTTCAAGTAAGTAATTTGATAATACATAACTCGAACACTGTTGAGTGGAATACGTATTTGTGGTCAATCTTCAGGTATCGATGTCACTAGGTTTTCTGTATATGAGAATTGATGAATATTCAAACGTGTGCTGCTATGACGAGTGTTCCACGTCTTTTGTTTCCTGTTCGTACTTATAACTATTTATTCAAATAAAAATATTGTTATTGTACAAACATATATGACATGTTCTATCAATTTATTACTCATTCATTACTGTCACGCAATGCTATGAAACACGTATCCGGTAAACAACAACAAAAAATTGTCAATCTTCCAAACACAGTGTCTCCATGCATAGAATTAATGGAAACACGGCGATGTCGAACCTTCGGATCAGTCGAAAATTTAATGTGGTTCGGTCGGCTTTGACATATCCGTGTTTTACTGTAACACATTTACTTGAATATACTGTTATCGTATGGAACAATTGTTCATTATATTGTAAAAAATATTGGAATCATTACAATTTGACGCTGCTAACATAATACAATGATTTTACAGAGGAATCTATCTGGAATCAAGCAAAAAGCAACATAAATTATTGATTATGCCTAAAATTATAAATTATTAAAAACCAAGTCTTAAAGAAGTTATTAAGCCACATCTACATGATCTCGATGAAAATAGGACACTTCTGTGTTCCCTCGGATTTTATTTACAGTTCAAACAGATTTAGAATTTTCTAAGAGCAGAACGTATTGATTTTAAATGTAAATTCATAACATGTTACTGTATCTGTGTATTACTTTTCCAAATCGTCGGCATATAGTGTGGATAAAGATCAAAATCAGTTCTTTATTTCAATATTTAATTTGGTATGGAAGCAACAAATTCTGTACAGATGATGTGTGTACAGACTTTTAAATCAAAATAACGATCAGAAACAAACGATAAAAAACATACGTCCTAAAATACGCAAGATATCTAAAAAAAAACATTAAAACAATAGAATCATTATGGTTTATCAAAGACTACTCCATCACTAACACTAAAGCTCATGTTCTACATCCATAAATTGAATGACTAATGATGTAAAGTCATTAAAATCACCTGTTTAATTTGAAGCATACTGCACTTTTCATTACTGTTTTGTAGGCGACAGGTATGATGACAGTGGTATGGTATGCTGAAATAAGTTATGACCGATATCTCGAATATTTCACAAACATCTGCCATATTGATTTCCCTGTTCCAGTGATACATGGAGAAATTTCCATTGTAATCTACACAAGCTGAGGTCTCTCGCAAATAAATTTGCGAGGATTATTGCAATATACATCAAACATTTTTGAGACACACCGAGTACTGCACAGTCTGCACTGCGCATGCTAGGATGATTCGCATCGAAGTTATTGAAAACTGCTTCTGACCACATTTGTGTCTCAAAGGAAGTACCATCAATCCATTTCCATTGTCTTTCCATCACAGCATCCGTCAGGCCAATGTATAACTTCTCGGTGTTGATACCCGTTATACGAAAAACATAGTCATCGAGATTAAGGATTAACAATTTGATAACCTCAAAACAATCAATCCTGTCCTGTGTGAAATTATATAACTATACTTCCTTCAAGCATGTTACCTCTTGGACAAAATACCGAACCTTTGACTTTGTTGTTGCATCAGGACTTTGTTGTAAACTACGAGAGAAAAATATTTTTCATCTATTATAATTATATCATATGTTGTATTTGTAACAACTTCTACAGCTGAAAACTTCACAGACAAAGTTGAAATGAAATAAGGTCCTTTAAACCATGACAAAATCTTCACAAGAAGCCCATGTTAAAATGAAATTATGACCTTTTAAACATGACAAAATCTTCACCAACAGTGTCTACCATCTGCAATTTCAAATAATTGGAAATTCGAAAAACAGAAATTGAAATCGGCAGAATTTAGATTTAAGGTTAAAATTCAATGATTGTTCCTACTGAAGTTGTGCCTTTATTGATCCAAACTTCTCTGACTTTTATCAAGTTCCCAAAGGTTCTAAAGGGAACAGTTAAGAAAATGTTATCCATTTTTGGTTTCGTATTTTTACTATCGACTTAATGCATACTATTAAAATATTTGAATGCTCCGTTAATCTTTGTTGGCGAGGTCAGCACGAGTAACCTCCCATCTTCCTGTTCACATGTCTGGTTGGCCTTATCCCAAATCATTTTTTTCTCTACTACATTGATGCAAAGATTCCCGTCTTCGAAGAACGTGTATCCTGAACGTTGACAATCTGCAACAGCATTATAAGATTTGAGTATACACCATCTCGACATTCAATATCCTATGGAACCAATAGGTAAAGATTACAGGACCATTTAAATGATTTTACTGCCTGTTATCTTGGTGTTGGTTTATCAGACAGTTATAACATATACATATATGTAACGTCCTCGACATACAAGTGCTTTGATAGGGATTTACGCATTGAAAATAATGTTCATTCTCCTTATACCGGTACTAATCTTTATTTGTTGGGTTTAGCCTTGTCATTTTGGATGTTACAAACAGTTCATATTTTGACCTTACTTTGGCAAGAGACTATTTATCGTAAGATTGTAGGGTATATAACAATGCTTCGTCTGTTAAACCGTGTCAACTAATCAAAACGTGTTTAAGCTTAAATTCATCTGTGTTTTGTAAGTTGGAATGATTCATTCATATATTGGGAGATGAATAGTATCGACCATTTAGTGGTAAGATGATCTAAATAACATACATTACTTACTTGTTTTACCTTTATACACCACACGTGGTACAGAAAACTGAGACGGTAAAGTGCTGAGAGTGGCGATTCCGGTGTACACGGCACAATCATTAGTCACCTCGGAGAATTCAAACATGTAGCAAACCATTTGAAGGAGGCAAAGTAGGGCACATTGTGTCCAGGAGGACGTTGCTTCCGAAAAGAGCAAATATCCACATGTTTGACTTGTTTGGTTGATCACGTGATGTGTCCAGGTTTCCGACATAAAGGTTGTCATGGTAATTTCTGTGAATAACACAGAAATATTTCCATTAATTTTTATCACACAATTCATTAAGATGTCGACTTTATCTTATCTTTACACGACGTACATAGTTGTACCTGTTACAGATTAGTTAAGCCAAAGTTCAAATAAAGAGTGTGGCGGATATTAAAATAAATATTGCTTATTTTACTGGTTCGCAGGTATTTCACGATCGCTGTTACTGAAATGTCCGATCCATCTGTCGATCAGTCAAACAATGACCACAACTTACAAAAAACCGCGAAATCAAAAGAACCAATAAAATACGACATAAGACTGTGAGGTAAGACAAAATTCAGCTGACCAATGGCCACATGACATTATATAAAAATATAATAATGAGACTAACCACTTAAGTATACACGAGACTAATGAACAAGATACAGTATAGACGTAAACTAATAAACAAGATTTAACAATTACGTAAACAATACAATTCAAATTATATTAAAAGTAAATCCTGCCATATTCCCATATAAATAGAACTACATAACCTAGAATTTGTTCGATGACAGCGTTTAACTGCTAAGCACTAACAAACCAGGATGTTCTGAATTTGCATTTGTCTACCATTTTAGATTTTAAAAAAATGTATTTTGTGAAAAACTGAAAGGTTTCAAATTGAAGTTTACAAAATATATAAATATGCATGATCCCTGCGGAGGTTCCACTTCTTAACAATGATGAATGTATCTTTGAAATGAGTCAGTTCTACTTACAAAAATACAGCCAGTGGTAGTTTCCACTTCTCGACAATGGCTTTCTATTTGTTGCAGTGAGGGTCTAATGTTTTAGTAATTATGTAACCATTAAGAAGTCGTTAGACTCGACTGCGCTTGGACACACTTCATAGGTTATACGTACGTATTGATATTGGGGACATGATGCGAGCAGACTACTTTCTGTAACAAACCAACCTCTCATACATATTGCATTGTGTCATTAGTCGTAATTCTACCATCTTTGTTAAAGTTCAAATCGATTTAGAATTTTCTAAGAGCACTTTGGAAAAATGTTGAATAAGAATTCATAACAAAAGTCTGTATATTGTGTATAATTTCATTCAGATTTTCAAATGTTGAAATACTTGAAATATTAATTGTCAGCCTCATGTAATTTGATGTTGAAAGCTGCGTTATATTTGTTTTACATTTATTTAATTTAACCTATTTCAGTAAAAGTTAGTCAACATCGAAATTAAAAACTTATTTTACGACATTACCAATTCACATACATGTATATTGTCTACAACAAAATTTTAACTCAAAGTAACGATAGATGGACGTCCTAAAATATCAAAAATATCTAAAACAGCATTTAAACGATGACATCGTAATTTTTTATTCGATTGCCTCAAATGCGTTTGGATAAACATCATACATTATAAATGTAATTTGATATGGGGTCTTGATGAGAGCAGACTGCTTTCTGTAACTTACACCAGCCTCTCATATTTCTTTTATTGTATCAGCAGCCGAAATTCTATCACACATGACTCGTGCCATTATCTACGTAATACCAACACAATATGATCACTGGTCTGGAACTACAAGTACATTTTATTTTTTCCTCTGTAACGGATGATAATTCAGCGTGAGTTACGCGATACGTCGTCGTTTGCATTTTTAACAAAAGTAATAATAATAAAAATGAAATGCATTACAAATAAGCAATACAAGATCGAGCACAATCTGCTTGTCGTTAGAATAATTTCAATTGAAGTCATTCATGATTACTTTGGCCACATTTGAATATCAAGTGGAGTTCCATTAATCCAGTCCAATTTTCCTTCTATCACCCAATCCGTCAGTCCGATGAAGAAATACAGTCTGCTGATACCTGTAACACACGAGAGACATAACACAATTTAAGGGGCAATGTGCCGTTGAAGCCGTTTTGATTACTACTGAAAATGGATACAATAGTTCTTTGACCAGTAAAGTTTATATTACCAGATAACAATGTTATCTATGGTATTGAGTATGCTCGGTGTGGTTTAATATATGTTGGTATAGGAAGGGATACTTAATACAACGTATGAACGGTCATTCAGCAGTAAAACATGGAGAGCATCAATATTTGTATCAACATTTCAACCTCCCGGACCATTCTGTACTGTCGATGAGTGTCCATACTTTGTAAAAAAATATGACCTAACACCGAGCACAGAGTGCCGTTGACAACGTGAGGAACACTATATTAGACGCTTTGGCTCTGCTGCGCCATTTTGCTACAGTTCAGTCCTGAATGCAGTAACACTAATGTTTTAGCTTGATTCACTATTCAAACTAGACGTAATCGTAGCCATGGACAAAGGCATTACAAAAAATCTGGTGGATGATCATGTAGTCATCGACACGTCACACTCAAATATGTTTGTATTATCAGAACCAGACAAACATCTTTGACCTTGTATTGTTAAGGTACTGTTGGGTATATACTATTTGGTCAGTTTGTGTTTCCTTGGTTATCGCCTGTGAATGTTCAACCCATCAGGTTAATGACGTTGCAGTATGATAACACTATCAAAAGCCGATTTCCATATACACAACAGAGACGGTAAAATGTTGAACGTGGCGATTTCCCGAACACATTACAGTTATTCGTCACCTCGGAGGCAAAGGAGGGCACATGCTCTCTAGGAGGATGTTGTTTCCGAAAATAACAATTTCCTTATGTTTGACTTGTAGACCATGTAATGTGTCCAGGCTTCCGACAGAACAATTGTCATGATAATTTCTGTTATTACAGAGCACTACATTCATTTATCTTCAAAACACAAGTTCATTAAGATATCGATTTTGTATTATGACTTTAGCGATTCATCTCTTGATAGTTTACGTACATAGTATTGATGTAATTACATTATCTATAACTTTGTCGATGTGGGTGTTTACCAACTAAACACCAACAAAGCAGGATGTTATTGACTTGATAGCATTCAATTTTAGACACAAAACAATTAATGTTGTAAAACAATAAAATGTAGGTATTCAAATTAAAATTTGCGAAATTCGATTACTCTTAAGCCAATGTAATTAAACAATCAATTTCAAAAGGATACAATTACCTAATAGATATGGAACACATTGAAAATCACGTGATTTTTATTCACGATATGTGTTTACGTCTCAATGACATTATGTATTCTAAGTTAGGGGGCAAAAACAAACCATAGCTTCCCTTGTCTTGGATGCCAACAGATGACACATTTATTGTTTACGGTTGCCAGTTGTATAATATGGTACATTTTAGCGGAGTTTCCTTTAATGTACCGTTATTTTTCGGCAACGTATCCGGTAGTGAGAAATAATGGGCTCTCTCTCTTCCTCTCTCTTTCTCTCTGTCTCTACCCCCTCTCTCTTCATCTCTCTCTCTTTCCCTCTGTCTGTCTGTCTGTCTGTCTCTACTCTATGTCTCTGTTTCTTTCCCCCGCTCACTCTGTATCTCTCTTCCTCTCTCTCTTCCCCATTCTCTCTCTCTCTCTCTGTCTCTGTTTCTTCCCCCCTCTCTCTCTGTATCTCTCTCTCTCTCTCCTGGTTAACACTGTGTGATATCCCAATCAAAAATCCATTTATCATCAAGTGTGCTATACGCGTTATACGCCAATGGGAATATCGATCTCAACATAATCAAACAAACCTTTGCCACGTATCTTTTGAAATTATGTACACTTGAAAAAATTGTTTATGTCAATTCTACCATAATGGAATATATGTGAGTATATATAGTTAGATCAAAATATTAAATTACATATTTTATTGAATCAAGTTTTTTTCCGAAACATCAAAAATGTTTTTTTTTATTACTAATTTGTTTGTAAGATATCATATTTTGGAAAAGGATAGTTGTTATGTGTGGGAATGAAGAAAGTGCCGATATGTTAACGGGAACTTATTAAAACATAAATTCGATGGGAAAATATGAAAAACAAAAAACAATTATGAATGAAAGAAATGCAACAATCAAATAAACTGATAAGCACAAAGTAGTTTCCTTTATAAAGTCTAAGGATTAAGCAGGCCTATAATCTCGGTTGGATGGTCGATAATACATCAGGCAAGCTGAAGAATGCTGAGGACGTTGACGTGACATATTTCCCGTTTTATAAACGACAAAACATTCACACGAAGGGCAGCCAAGGAGGCTATAGGAACTTTGAATTCAACAGACTAAAGTACTGTTTAAAATATCACCACTATTTGTCGGGCGTCACGGTAAATATTTTAATATTGTAAAGTGACCGGGTGGATATATATCTGCAGAGCCAGTGAAAATACATCACAATACCAATACTATTATTAACAGGCTTATTTACACTTTATAAAACACAAACTATATTAGTCCAGATCACCAGCTGAGAAACCCTTCTCTAATAGACCTCAGCTAAGTATCCGGAGACAGTCACACACACGTCTGTTCTCTACAGAGTTCGAACCCTTCTCTAATAGACCTCAGCTAAGTATCCGAAGACAGTCACACACAGAGAGGAACTCCACTCTCACCCCGTGCCCCGAGAAGACATCCCCTACACATCCATAATTAATAGTTGTATATGGGAATAACTCTAAAGCCGCGACTGCCCCATTGATATCAGGTCAAACTCCCCGGCTAAGTCATTAGCCATGCTAGTCTGTCAGCACAGTCCCCCTTCCAGTGTCAATTAACGCTAAAGTATATAACAAATTATTCCTCATTACCCTCGATGTGGTTTCCACCAAAAAACATTATATACATGATCAGTAAGACAAAAAAACAATCTTTAACAGTATTATTGTGGCGGATAATGAGAAAGCAATTTTTTTTTGTATAATCTTTGGTATCCTTGATAC